GAAGTTTAATTGACATATTAACGCAGATTAAAATTACAAGCACCCGTCTGGTATTTCAAATCGAAGCAATAAGTTAATTAAAATCTCAGTTATAAAAAATGTAAAAATTGCACGCTAACTTGAGTGCTATTAAATGACAAAAGTCATTTTCTCTATAGAGCTGATTTCAAAAAATGCTTCATTCAAAGCGACGTTAATGAACTTTAATCATGTTGGGTTCTTGACAATTCAGATAATTTCTCAACTGAAATTACCCGGGGGGAGGTATGAAAAAAACTTCGCTAATTGGATAAGTGGATTTTCTCGATAAGTGGATTTATATCAAATACAAATTTATGAACTTTAAATAATGATTTAAACTCTAATGTTACTTAAAACAATAATTACATACTATTACTGAATTCTGACCATTGTTAATGTGGATAGTAATAAAGATTTAGAAGTCAAACAACAAATAGTAATACTTTATGCAGCATTACTATTTGTTGCTATGATGGATAGTAATACTTTATGCAGGGGGATATTAAAAATCAATACATCTCTTTTACACACTGCTATTTAGAAACTAGCAGCATCTGCACCTCAAACCAATAGCAAATCTAAGAGAATATGAAACTGCATTTTAACTATCGGCCATCCGCTAATCTCTGAAAATGAATTCTCTACAAGTAAAAAAAGCGCTCTTTAAATCTATATTATTATAAAACGAGCCGATATCTAAAATGATAAATTCCCAAATTTTTGTAATTGTCGCATTAAAATCCTAAATGCCATCATAGGCTGAAGGGTCATTGTCTTTTCACTATTTAAATTAGATTAGCGTAGTTTCCAAGTACCAATGTAATGTACACATTAAAATACTTTTTTTAAATCTCCCGCTGTGCACATCAATATGCATTTTGCATAATTTAGAGCACCTCAAAAAATAATAATTGGAAAAGCATATATTTATATTTTTAATGCAAAAACTAATCGATATTGTAATTTAGAAAAGTATTATTGTATGAATAGCACACGAATAATTCTATATACTTCCAAAAATTACGGAACGGCTACCTGAGATATGTACATTATTTACAGAATCAAAACAATGGTGAAATTAAATAAATATTCTTACGAATATTGTACATAGATAGATGATTTTAATGCAATTATATGTGAAATTGATGTATTTTTCGTGCGTAAAGTAATATAAAAAATCTAGAGGATAAAAGCTATGCCGGAAAAGCAAGAATACAGGTGCAAGTCCAATTAACATCGAGTAAAAGGTATCTTGGTAATTTGGCGAGAAACCGCCTAAAGTCGCCAAACTTGGTGTCCATTTGATTACATTTTAGTTCGTCCCTGTATTCCTGTATCACCGTAATAGGTATTATAACTGAATAAAAGTAACTGATCACTATATTAGCTGTAACCGTAATTACACCCTCATATTACCTTCCAGTAATTTCGAGAAGCAGGAAATACAGGAAATATTCTCGGCGGCAGGTCAAAAACTATATTGGGCCAGAGAGAGCATCTGCTTTCAGTTGTTGTTAGCTGTTAGCTCAGCGTGAGTTCTGAGTACTATTTCGGTTTAGTTTCGCTCTTTAGTTGCCCTTTGCAATGCGATATGTTTAACGTTCTTGGTAGTTTGAAGTGTCACTGCTGATTGTGCTCTGTGATACCGTGAAGAACTGTACCAGTATTTTTGTGGAAAGTTCCAGAACTCTAAAGTGTTTCTTTCGATAAAATAAATTTTATTAACCTATCGTCGGACCCGTGTGCATTTAATTTATTACGAACCCGTACGCACGCACGCAACAATATGTTGATCTCCACGTAAAATTAAAATCCTTTAAGCATTTATTACACTTCATTTAATACTTGGTTTAAAACAAATACATTGTCTTCGCTCTCTTGTTTCAAAAGAAATAACAGCAATAATATTTGCAAGTGCGTTCAATCACCCCTTTTTATCCATTAATCAGATTTTGTAAGAGAAGCAACCAATTTCACGACATAACAATAAACGACAGAGTTATTCATGTCTTTCGAGGGAATACCAAGCGTTTGGGCTGAAGGTACTCCAGGAAAATGATGCCATAGGTGTCCTGAGAGAAATGGGGACGAGATACAGAAATTCTCTTGAGAGCTTATTTCATCGCTTGTACCAGCATACTTACTAAAATGCGCAAATGAAAGTCGCATTATTCTATAAACAGCTTGTTATTTTGACGAGAAGACTATTATATAACCCGCATAGATTGAAATTAGATAACATTGCGATTGCTTAGTATTCGTTACACGGAAGTTGTTTAGATATATGGGTGCGTAAATTATGCACATACAATAAATAAAAGGATTATTCTCGTAGTTTTGTCATAAGCTTATGAATCACCTTTTCTGCCACACAATTTTCAAACTTAACCAAACTTAACTAAAGAATATCAAGATAATTTCCATTGCGTTAAAATACATTAAAAGGAACATTATTATTAAAATAATTTTTAAGTAGTCTTTTGCAGTTTCTTACCGTTTTTAAGTAGTCACATTTCTTATGGTATAAAGCTTTTATACAACCTTTCCATGATTAAATGCTATTAAACTGTTAAATAAGGCATATAATACGATTGTTATTTTTGAAATTACTTGACAAAGAATAACCAGAATATACTTTTACCTGAAATTACGAAATTATTTTAGATTATTACTGAAATTAATTGGTTTCTTTACTGTTTTTTATTTATACTCAATTTTAGTTCATGCTGATTACTTCATTGGTAGCTCATTACAAAAAGACCCTTTAATGTAACAGAAGAGAATAATGCTTTAATTCCAGATTTTCTAGTTAATCTGCCCTCTCTTCAAAAGAAATCGTAACTTTTTTCTGAGATAATACGCATTCTTTTAGAAACACATGAAAGGCATTAAACGTTTCTTTAGAAAGGAATTGAACGCTTCATATTTTTCAAACCATTATATATTTGCGCTGCCTTTAAAACTTTCAAAATTATGATTTTTGTATTGATTTCACATGATTAACCGCTTTTTCAATGTTTTATCATAACTAATGAGCCATTCTAATCCGATACTTTATATTCTCTTCTAAATACTTCCATCAAATTTAAATAATTACTAGTCTCATATTTGTAAGATTACATAACATATTCAGCAACTTTTTCTACTAAAAATAATCTGCTGTAGATAAAAGATTAACAGACTACCGATTACTGTGAATTATGGTAGGTATTGTTCCCAACATCGAAGGAGGAAGAAAATACCGGACTGCTTTAGAGAAACCAAGCATTATATACATAGACAGTATGATATCGTGCATTTCCTTTGCCTGCACTTAAAAAAAAAAAAAAAAAAAAAAAAAAAAAAAAAAAAACCGCTGCTTTGGACCGATTTCACTAAATATTCTCATTCGGTTTTTCAAGTATATATAAATTTACAATTTTTCATTTAACCGCGATGATTTTAGGATACACACGATGGTGGTTACATATTAATGTTCATTAATCATTAGAAAATTTAACCGTATTCACTGTGATAGCTACCGTATAGTGCTGCATGCAAATTTCACCAACACACTGCAAATTAAATTGCTGATATTTGAAAATTGGCATATTTAGAAAGTTTAGACGATTACAGCATTAAATGAAAAGTTTTATTCTCAGCAAGCAACCATTTAATCAGAAATTAATCTCAAAGATGAAGGAAAGCGAAGTTTCTATAGATCAAGTTTCTGCTCACATTGCATTCTTTAACAGGTCAAAAATCTATTGAATCATTGCTGGTTCTCGACTACTCATCTAGGGTTTAGCATCTTAAATTTCTTCAACTAGTTAAAATTTCTTAGAAACTTCCACATTCATCAAAGCATATCTAGTTCCAAAAATTCACCATACTTATTTTTTTAACACATATTATTTCATGCCTTTCTTCTTTCTCGCTTACATTTAACTCACCAGAAGGGACAGTTCCAAATTTTAGCGCTATGCCTCGCTCTAGAATACGTCCCCCAAATGCCCTGGATTTAGTATATACATATATTTTTAATATCCTTAATTAGTCGACATGAATTTTGCTAGCTCTGTTCCATACAGCCATTGAGATAAGTTTGTGATAATCGAAAGAGTTTTAATAAAGTCAAATAATCGTGTCTAAATTCACTAAAATGTAATGTAATATATATATAGATATATATATAACACTCTCAAGCCCTTAATAATTTAAAAACGAAGTGTACAATGAAAAATGAATTACGAATTTTAAACAAAAATAAAATGAAAAAATAAATGTACAAATTAAATGCTCTAATAACCTATAAAACGCAAGCGCACAAATTAAAACCTTTCAATACCGTTAATTGCTTGGATGCTTAAATTTTTAGATATAATTAAATCGAATAATTTTATTAAAAAGTCATCTTTTATAGCAGTATCAGAGAAGAAAGGATATTTGTGTAAATGTCTAATTCAGAAATTAATTACAAATATTTTTCCCTTTCTTCATTATGTTTCGAATATTCAAGTCAGACCTTTTAATTTAATAAATAAATAAATAATGGATGCTCTAAAAACTCCTTTTGCTGAATAACTTATTTCTTACTCTATGCAACTTACAATGCCATGAACATAAGCTATGAAAAATTCATTTTTTAAAATAGGATTGCTTTTAATAAGTAAATAAAGCATGAAAAACAGACATAAAATGCTCCTTTCATATCCTAGACGCAGTTAACGTTTAATTTCAGCCTCTTGATGGAACACAATCATTATCAACAATTCAACCTGTTTCTTTGAGAATGGAAACAAGAGCTTTAAATTTATTATCATTTTAAAACACAACGACCAAGATTAGTCGAATAACTACAGTTGATCAGTGGTTTATAAATGGCGCATTACAGAAACCTTCAATTAGCATTCCTTACTCAAGGAAATAAGATTATCTTCGTGAGCTACAACTGTCTTGCCTCAAAGAACAGATTTCATTTAAAAGAAAAAAATACTTACATTAAATTCCACTTGTTGGGGCATGCGTACACCAGGCCTGGGTCCCCCGGGATACCTCGGTGACATGAACGGCTGTAAAAAAGATAGATGAATATTTAGATTGATCGAGTTCAGAAATAGCATTAATATGCAACCACAGAACACACTACAAAATAGGAAACACCAACACAGTCATGGAAAAACAAGCTACAGTTTGGGTGGACATAATTAACTGGACGCTATGATGAATGGTGTGAGGTCGGTCAGTTGTAAATCAAACGTGTTTATCAGCAGCGAAACCATGCGGGTAATACTGAAGTCCTGGGCTATTTAACGCGCTCAAAAGCTTAACATATAGTCTTTAATTATCACTCATGTGGATGAAGACTACTGGATATCAGTGTACAAGTTAAACTGTTAATGAAAGACGTGACTGCACGTTTGGGTTAGCACGGTCAGCAACAGAGATGAATTAGAACATTTATTCGTGTTGTTCAGGAATATTACATTACTACCCAAGTCGATATCCTTACGGGTATGCACAAGAATATACATCATCTGCTGTCAAATTTTTAAATATAAAAACAAGATCATTAATCGTATGTAATATTATGAGGTATAACATCTAGATACTAACTAAATTATGACCGAAAAGGAAATAAAATTAAGAAAGGTTTGGTTTATATTTTGAAAATATGAAAAACACAAATGACTCGGAAAATATAATCCTCATATAAAAATAAAACTTTTTAAAGCATCAGTAATTTAATATAATTGTTTTGCACTATGTCACACTATTCGATCCATAATATCTAATACTTCTAAATACATATAACTTACTGCATAAAACATTGCATTAATATATGCGCCTCAGTATACTCACATTATCTTTAAGAAATAATAATGTAATATGTCTTTTACTTTACTGGAAAGTAATAAAAATCGATATACATATCGAATATAATAAAATTTTCGACGCACCAGCTATAAATTTAGACGTTAAACGATTTTTCGGTGCATAGGCATGGTATGGAGATATAACAGAAAAAGATTAAAAGATTTTGACAATATAAAATATTTTCACTAATAAAATCTTATATGCTGTAACAAGAAGTCAGGTTCCGAAATTTGTCTATAACTGATACAATATAACTCATAGTTTTAATTCGAAATTCTTATTTTCAAAATATAACGCTGATTATTCTTTGAAATTTGATTAAATTTTTGGAGATATGAACTTCGAAAGTTTATGAACTGCCAACTATAGTTTCGAATACATTTTGAAAAGTTTTACTGATTTCCACCACTACAAATCACTATATTTCTTAGAACAATCTGGTCTAAAGTGTCAGATAAACATTTAATCAGATATAGTTTTAAGTATGTATGATGGTAAATTTAAAGGATTATAGAACATTCGAAATGAATTAATTTATTTTAATACCTGTCGTGTTTATAGTTGAAGATACATATTCTTTTTTTTAAATAAAATTACTTCTTTGTTTCTGAAGTCAATAAAGGGACTAATACACATGACAAGAATTTTTGTTTTTTCAGAGTATCACCCATTTTTTATGCATAAAATGAAAGAACCTTAAATAATCCTCTTTACTCATTTCTATTACGTAGTGAGATTTCTCTACGTAATAGAATAGAATTGCAAAATGAATGCAGAATATAGCCTAAATAGATTGCAATGCAAATAAAAATAGATGCAAGCATTTTAAGTAAATAATGTACTGAATAATAAAATAAACCAAACAGCTTGGATTATAACAAGTATGAAGACGTAAGAGACAATTTTTAATTTAACTGCAAAATAAATTATAACCTCATTGAATAATACCAGCTGCAGAATAATGGATATGGAAATGCATGGGCGCCCGCAATAACTTGGGAAACAATGTTAAACGACAGATTAATATTTTCCTTACAAACAGTAAAATCTCACTTCACTAACAGATTTATTTATTAAATTCCAACTTCAACGTAATTAGCATAGTAACTTTATACCCGCTCACCAGATTCACTCAAAATATGTACACGAAGAATACAATGAAGTCCTTTGTGTCGGATATTTATTAATTTTCTATTCATTCGACCAAGAAATGAACATCATCATTTGAAACTGCATCGAATTGTATGCATAATAACACTGAGCTTCCTGAAATGAAAAGACTAAGCAAATAATTGCAAAACATTCCGAATCCCAAATTAACTAGTACAAAGCCTAAAATAAATCTAAAGTTTATTTTAAATTTAATTCAAATGTCATTAGACCGCTCTTGCTGGATCGACAGTAAAACTAGAATGAAGAGGAGAGCGAGGGGATATAAAATAAATTGAATCTAATTGAAAACAAAATCGTTTAAAGCTTCCATACAACTCTTGTCTCAAAGGCAAGTCGGGAAATCGAATTTTGCATAATATGAGAGAGAGAGAGAGAGCGAGGACTTGTGCACAAATTTTCAGATTGTTCGGAATAATTTCCATTCTGACATCATTCTCAAAGCAGTCGCTTACAATTAAAAACTCCAGGATTTAAATCAAGCATCATGAAAGTGCTTCGGTTCATCGCCATTACGCTTTTTTGCATTCGGACAACTACAGGAATTTGATATTTTAGATATTAGTGAAGCTCAAAATAATTAGTAATATAAGGTTAACCATCACAGCTTTATTTACTTAAATATGCTACCTTTCAGTTAGAAAAATGCTTTAATGCTGGGTACGGATAGAAAATATTGTGCCAATTTTATTCGAGTTTTCCTAAAATTTTCTTTTTTCTTCAAATAAATATACCATAAACCAAGAATATATACATAAAAGTTTTGGGAAATTAAACCTGCAACTTTTATTGGACGTACTGCTTATACTATATTACCACAATTTCGCAAGTTATTAAATTTGAATTTAGTAAAACTACTCATACTTTTTATTCAATAAATACTGTTTCAAATTTATTTCTAGTAATTAATGTAAATTAACTAATTAAGGTAAAAGGCGAAAATAATACACGTCAAACTTAAAAAAAAGGGGGCAGGAGATGTGTTCAGAATAGTGTTTTAACAGCAGCGCTTATGAAAGCAAACGTATACCTGTATTTAGCAAAAGAAATAAGCAGTTATTCTGATTGCATTAATAGTTTTAATAATACAGCATTCCCCCAAAACTACTGGCGAACAAAATTTTCTTAAGAAACACGACCTTTACTTTACTGATTTGTGTTGCTGGTGTCAATAGCATCTGAATCTGCGAAATCTATCACATTAAATACTGCTAAGGAGAATTTCAACTTTGATTTGTACTCATAAACTAGTCTACATCATAATTCTTATATGGATTTTCATTACTCGTATCACTGTATTATTTACACACTATTTATGTTGAGCATTTCCTGCTTCCTGCTTTTTCCTCCTTTCAATATGTAAGCTTAATTTGGTTTGTAATTTATAGAAAGTTAGTCTAATTTTGTGCTTTTGTTAACTCCTAAATAACAGACAGGATAATTATATGTCAATATAATAAATAATTATACGTCAGAATAATTGTATTATTTACGACATCAGTCTCGCTTTTTTTTTTTTTTTTTTTTTTTTTTTTTTTTTTTTTTTTTTTGAGCCTGCAACAGCGTAAATTGATCTTTTTTCGAACGAGGTGTGAAACTTTACCATTATGTAAAAACGTGTGAAACCACCATCAAATGTGTGAAACTCACCATTGAAATTTTAATGAACAATACCAAATGTTATCACGTAAAGAAAAAATCAAGAAATGTAGCAGCAATTTTAAGTTTTGCAGTTGGTTATACATTTTCAAACGATTTGTTTCAGAATCAAAAGTACCAGTGAGAGTCAAAAATGCAGATATGAATAATGATTAAACAGAGAAAGCATGAGTAATCTTTAAAACAATAAAAACACATAACAGAGAAAGACTCGTGAAACACATCATGAGGCAGATTTAATTCAAATTGAACTGACTTGACTTTTTCTATTAGATTAGACTGATAGAATTCAAGTCTAAGTGACCTGAACTGACTGACTAAGTCGACGGAGTTTTCGGAGCAAAAATAATTTTATTTCCTACAAAAAAAGTAAGTTTTCTTACTTTTAACAAAATTTTTGAAAATAATTTTAAAAACAATATAAATAAATAAATAAATAAATAAAAATTGGCACAGCGACAAATAATTTTTTGTTGTGGTAAATTCCTTAGTATCTGCCACTTCCTCGTTCCAAATAACTATCATAGTAGATATTATTCAATATAAAATTTCTACACGCACAATACGCCAGAAAAAAGGAGGATGCTGCAGTTTGTCTTTTTCCCCGCATGTGTATGAATGCGTGCGCATGTAACATTAAGTGCAATAATCAATATCGCATAAGCGAGATGGAAATAAAAAAAATACGAAACTACAGCGAGGAACTTAATTATTCTAAGCTGTTAAAGGTGGAAAAAAGACAAGTCAGCTATTAAAATTACTTCAGTAATATTTGCTACGCAACAACAGTTTTCTTGAGTCACCACAAAGAAAACTTCATGTTTTCATCTCGATTCATTGCAATGTAATGTTCTAGGGATTGCAGTGAATAAGGACGGTGAGTAAAGGAACCTTTTTCTTCAGGGTGGGGGTGGGATGTTTTAATCCGTTATACAGCTGAGCCTCATTAAACAGGGAAAAAAACGGGGAAGGGGAGAAAACGCCTAAGCTTAAATACACACTTCAAGGTTTTAAAAATAGCCATTGCTCTGGGGTTTCCGCGCCTCATTACGGACGTAGAAATGCCACCTCTGCGAACACAGAAGCATGCTTACGAATGCATTTCTTGTACAACATATCTCCGCAGTACATCATCACGGCTCATGGCCGTGCGGGTAAGCAAAACATTCTGGGAAGAGCTGTTTCTGCAGAATGGAATTATTTTTCGACATAAAAAAAAGGAACAGTCACTAGTAATAATGGCTGTGAAACTGCTTCTGTTCCAAAAGCTGAGAATAACTGCGATAATTATTGTTTTCTCAATATTTTGCAAGTTTATTTTTCATAGCGTAGAAGAGGCCAAGGCCGCTCTAACAAGTTTTCGCCA